AAGTGCAACAGGGTATTCCTAATCCTAGGTAATATCTACTTAAGAATTATCGTTCAAAAGCGTTAATGAAGGTTTGTCCGACCTAAGGTTAACCATAAATCTATTTCAATTTGTCCGATTGAAAAAGCAGTAAGAACATTGAACGATAAAACTTGATTATGAAAATAAGTACTTATGTCATTCAAATAATAAGAACAATATAATTACAAAAGCAATTCAGGGGCACCCCCTAGAATTGGAGGGTTTAGCTACTCATAATAATTATAGAAATTACAATCAAAATCATATTAAATATTTAAAAAAAATAGTGGTTACTTTGATCTTCAATTGTGAAGGCTCATGAAAATCTCTGTTTCCCACTTCTCTAGATCGTTCCAATCTTGATTGTAATATTTCTCCATCGTTAAAAAGTTCTTTTTTCCTTCTCAAAATGCGTCTTAAATATTCCCAGGTCCAACACAGCAGTAGAGAAATACCCAAATCACCCTCAAGAATCCCAAAGGTCACAAAAACAAGAAAATAGGAATCTGACACGACCAAGCCAACACGGGCCATGTTAGGTGACACGGGTGACCGTGTTGGCCCCCTAGATATCAGATGCAAATAAATTGTGCCTTAGACTTCCTGGCACGAGCCTGTCAGGTGACACGGGCACCTGTGTCAACCCACAGTCCACCACTCCATCTTTTTCTCTTTGGGTTCCTCTTGACACGGCATGTGTCAGGTGACACGGGTGGCCGTGTCAGGCCACTGCTTCTCTTCCAAAAACTCCTCCGATTTTTCAGAAAATTTATATTTTCTTCACCTGAGTCTTTTGGCCTTTTCCGCATGGACCTGAAATCATCAAAACTACAACCAAACACGTAAAATGCAACAAAAAGTGAAATAACACCAGAAAACATAAAATTCGAGAATAAAATAAGAACAATAAAATTTACTCAAAAATGATAAAAAGAACAGAAAAATATTATCGATTCGTGGATGAAATGTCGAATAAATGACGGAAACATAATAGAAATGGTGAGTGATCACAACCCCAAACTTAGCTCATTGATTGTCCTCAAGCAATGCTCGAGACAGCCAATAGGTCACCTTCAACCTACAAAGTCGACTTACCACAACACTGCTAAAATCTTTCGATACTCTCTTTTCACTTTTTTCATCAAGTTTTCTGCTTCCCCGGTCTGAACCTTCTGCTACACTTCCACATCAAAACACCTCTTTACCTGCCATATTTTTCACACTCTCACCAAAATCTCTATGAGCTAAAGTGTTTACACTCAACAATCAGAGCATGCAAAATTGAATTATAAGCTTGAATATCATCGATTTTCATCTCACACACACCACACACACCTTTCGAGGTCTTTTAAGGTTGTTACGGGGCTAAAGGTTATGGTGGGATAAACAAAAAATTGGGAAAACAAGTGGCTTTGGACTCAGAGTCGGTGTCGTCATTTTCCACTGTGTTATTTGCAATGTTCATGATTAGGAGTATTGGACACCTTTTCACAGGATTCATTAGTTTCTATTCAAATATTTTTCTTGAACATGCATTCTTAATTTTCAAACTAACTTTCTCCTCTAGGTAAGTTCTTTATTTTCATAATCAAGTTTTATCGTTCAATGTTCTTATTGCTTTTTCAATCGGACAAATTGAATTAGATTTACGGTTAACCTTAGGTCGAACAAACCTTCGTTAAGGGTTTTGAGCGATAATGTTTCAGTAGATATTACCAAGGACTAGGAATACCCTGTTTCACTTGGAACACTGTTGACATTATTTGTAACGCTTGATTTCAAACTAATTGCCTACGGACATAATAATTAGGTCATGCAATTAAGAGGTTTTCTCACTAAGGATTTAGGAGTAAACAATTTACAGTCAAGAACTTGATAATTTGAGCTATGTCTTTGAAATAAGGATTAATATTGTTACAAAAAAATTCATACACTACCCCTAGTATGCTCTCATATCTGTCATAACCATATTTTATCCTTTTTCCTTATTTTTATTATTGAAACTTTTAATTTTAAAAACAATTTCCAAACCCCCAATTGTTTTTGTTTAATTGGATTATTATAGAGCTTATACTCTCCTACGCAGTCCTTGAGATCGATGTTGGGGATAAAACCCCTATTTTGACTACAATCAGCAAAAATAGTACACTTGTTATTTTTTCGATCAACCAGTTGACAATGCAATGCCATCAAATATAAAATATTAGTTCATTTATAATTGTTTGGAAGCAAAACTGAACGCGAGTCTTTAATGATGCATGCAAATATCAAGAATTATTTTTGTATGTGGTAGATGTACATTAATAGTATTCATATTTTATTGAAGACATACTTTTTCAAAAAATTTCATTGTTGAAAAGTGTGTATTGGTCCCATAAGGATACAAAGGTTATTGTGTTTTCATTAATAATATTGTGTCGCGTGAAACTTCAAAACACGAGAAACATATAAAATAAATACTAAGCTAATATTGATTAATATGCCATCATGTTAATGGTAAACCTTAACAACATCATTTTTCCAAATGTTTAAAACATAAATCTTGCATGATACTAGGAACATGCATTTAAATTTGTACAAAACGTGTAATAATAAACAGAGTTATTAGAAAGACTAAAACAATAAAATTGAACTTATTTCTTCTCGAATTTGACATGTTTCTGACGTAGCCTGGTCGATGATTATTCTCCATCAGCTAGTTCTTTCAAAGTGGATAACTCGCTCGAACCGTGAAGTGCACCCCTTTTTCCAAAATTCATAGGAGTCACAGCTTTTTCTTTGGTTTCTCAGGTGTCACAAACTCCTGGATAAAAAACAACGTCAGGGAAAATGAGCCACTTCATATATTGTTACACAATAAAAATTAGCTCACATGATTCAAAAAAGAATAAGTCATAATCAACCATCTTGGCAGACGGAACTGGAGGTAAAGCTTATGCATTCAATTTTTATGTAATTTCCAAATCATGCACCATAAAGAATAACCGTAAAAAATCATGATGACACAAACAGTTATATTAACGAAACCTCATATGCATAATTATATTTTCCTCACATTAATGATATTCCACTCTTCAGCTAATGTTACCTCACCCACACTCTTCTTAATCTAAAAACATCATATATTAAACAAATTGTGAGGCACTTAAAAGAGGCTAAAGACAAAATCTTATAGAATTTTATATCATTAAAACCTAGATCATTTTATCAACATTAATTTATTTTGAAGATGATTTATGTAAAATAAAAAAGCAATTGTGTTTAGGAGTCACATATACATGTTTACATAGGTCATAGCGTATAAACGTGTTTGTGAATTACCTTACACACCCCCCAAAGGGAAAGTAGTTTCTCACGGGTTTCTTTGTCCGATTTAAGAGCCATGACAGTACCATTTTCCACCTTGGTTGCCATTTTATTTTAAATGCAAACTCATGTCCAAGCATGTTATCAAGAATCAACGAAAACTCCAGTGGATCATGAATACCACCCTAAAATGTGATTAGTAATTGTGAAAAAATATTGCATTTCTAATAAAATGGCACTTGAAATGTAAAAAATATATATAATCACACCTCAACCATGGTTTGATGTAGTTGAGCAGCTGTAATTCCCAGCAATTCAGTACATTCACGGTCCCAAAAGACAAATATTGCACTACTACCATTATTTACAACCTCAATCTCTATTTTTTTATCTGTAAGTGAAAATAAATTGAAATTTTAAGTTTAATTTCAGAATGACTACATTTTCCATAATGATTAAAGAATACCTCAAAATTCCAATTTCAGTAGAATGCCCGTCAACACATATATAGGGTGTAAAACTTCCATTCGCTACTTTTGGAAACTTGTAGCATGCTTGGTAATACCAACCATTTCCAGATGCTTTCATTTTATAGGTGGTGGCTACGGTGACAGACCAAGTCATTTGTTGCAGTGTGCAATAGATGGTGTACAGGCTAACCAATATATAAAATAGTTTCATATAAAACGGCATATAAAATGAACCATACTTATACTTACATCAAGTAGTTTGATAACATCACCAAGACTACGAGCATTAGCTTGTGATTTGTGAGCCAACAGAGTTTTGCAACCACATATTAGACTGTGAACTCATCAGTTGACTGGAACTTCCAACATGGGTGTCTTTGGATAACCTATATTGCAAATTGTACCAAGATAAATTTTGAATTAGTTTAGCCATTTCATCAATAAGGTGTGATTTCTATAAAAGGTATAGTTGTTATCAATTCAACCTTCTTTGAAATTCAACAGTCTCTGGAATGTCTTCCTTAATGATAAGATTCGTAACATTCTAGGTATTCGGCACTAACAATGGATACTTTCCTATATGATTTTAACATATAAATGTATTCAACATATTAATTTGAACAATAATACATATTAATAACACTTAAGCATACCTTCCTCTTTCACTTTCAGATATTGTAAGAGAACAATTGTGGGACTACCATCCTTGTTGGTTTGAATGTAGATCATGATTTGACAACATATGCCTCCCAAAGCGTGCAGTTCAAGGTGTTGTTCCTAACATTGTAACATACACTATTTTAAGTATTTGAGTTTCGTGTAACATGAACAAAAACTTACAACACAACATTATATTTACCCAACATTTTTCAATACAATATTCACTTGTTGTTTCTTGCTACCAGAACTCATTTGGGTATACCCGATTTCTTCAACCACTCCAATAACATTTAACAAATTTAATATGATTAGTATGGTAAATATAATGTGTGTGTATATTGTATATACAGTAACAGAAATTTAAACGAAGTTTCAATATATATCAAATGAGGGTATTATTGAAAATATATAACTTATTAAGAAATTCTTCTTCCATTTTCCCGAAATAATATCCGCAAAAGATTTGAAGTTGAGCTTCTTTGCAGGAATATCATGTTTGTTTATATCAGATACTGAAGTTCCAGATGTGAATCTTATTATAAACTAATGATCAGAAGTTTTGAAGACTAAATCATTGGGTTGAGGCTTAAAGTTAGTCATAGTGTAAGTGTTGTTGACATGTAACACCGAATCAAATGTTCCTTTCAAAGCAGTTGGCACTATTACATGAATATATTTCCCCTACAAATATATAATATATAGTGTATAATTGAAAGAAAGATGAGAATAAAACACTACACACAAAAAAATAAACACTTACCTCAGCGTCAACAAAAATGAGTTCCAAATGCTCTTTGTTATTAGAAACAACAGTCCATTTGTGGTGAACTTTGACAACTATTTTCCATAATTCTTTCTTGTCAAAAATGTCACCAATCTTTTCAAAAGGCATAGCCATGGGTGCTTAAACTGCAACTGTGTGAAGGCAGATATATCATGAATATTATTATGGTTTCAATGTTAAATATAAGCTTAAAGCGTAATTTTGAACAGACATTAAAACACAATGTTAAGATGACATATATCAATACATTGTGTCAATGGTTTGCATCATAATATTGTCTAATATCATCGACAATCTTCATAACTAAAATAACCATAATTTTTTGAAAACAAATGTATGCACCAAGGAACATATACATAGAATCGTAAAACTCAAATAAAAGAAAGCTACAAAACTTAAACTTTAACAATATTTGTTTTCGATGCTCCATTAAAACCCATTCTTTGCTTCATTATGTTACAAAGTGTCAGACCCCAAATTTTGACCCTATATGTAATTATCATTCTAGGAGCATATCACATTGCATTGTTAACCCTAATTTTGTTCAGATTGCCTTTGCCTTGTTTCATTTGAATTAGTGTTTTCCCCCAAAAGGAATCAAGAGGATTTGCACTTGATCAGTCAATATTTTGAATTGATCATCAACATACCAAGTATAAATAAACTCAATAGGCCTCTATTCATCAAGAATCAAGTACAAATTGGTCTTGTTACAAGTTCTTTGAAGCTCAATTTCATCTGGCCCCAAATTAGGGTTTTGTCAAGAAAAAAGTCAAATGTGCCTTTGACTTTTAATCAAAGCATGACCCCAAGCCTTGGGACATGATTCAAGATGCTCAAATGCATCCTTGTATTCCATATATGATGTTTGAAATAATAAATAATGCAAAATCATTAAAGATCACACAATTGATTTCATCTGATACACAAGCTTTATCTGACAAAGTCAACCCTTTGACTTTTGAGATTTTTGGTCAAAATTGAAGTCCTCAAGCCAAACTCCATCAAGACATGTTTTATCCCTAATTAATAAAACATAAAAGTTATATAGCATGTTTGGGGATTTTCAAAAAGTACAATAACTCCGTCATAGCATTTGTGAGCAAGGATTTTCGAAGAGAGGAAGTTAGCCTTCCACACTTGAAATTTTAGCCATTTCCACCAAGATGCAAGTTGCAAATTCAAATTGATTATGCATAATCCTTGATTAAAGATCTTAATACATGTAAATCTAGCCATAATCAGAAGATTACACTTGTTTTTGGTGCATTATCCAAGTGGTTTTACTTTGCTCACTAATTCTTTCCATTTTATGCACAAAGTTACCACTTTCGTTCTCATAAAGCTACTTTTATCAAGAAGTCAACTTGTCTTGAGATTTTAATTGGTTTTTTCTGCACCAAAACTTTTCTTTGTATAGAAGCAAGATGTTTGAACTTTACAACAACTTTCCCATGTTTGTACTTGGTTTTGGAACTTCCAAATTTCATCAAACTATCTTTGAAATCCAACCAAAGCAAGTGAACAATGCCTTGGCAATTCTGCAGAACCTCAAGCCTCACTCTTTCCCTATAAATAGAGACTCCTTCTAAGAATCAAACACACAACAAAACCTCAGCATTCCTTCCCTCAAAAGCTCTTAAACCATAAACTTGCCCTAATTTCTTTTTGTGCCAAGTAACCTCTAACTTGCACAAACTTGCAATATGCCTTCCATAAACCACAAACCATTAAAATAACCATCTAAACACATCATAAATCATCCCTTAAAGGTTTTCAAACCTTCATCTTCACCCATAACCACCAGAATCAGAAAGTCAACCATTGAAACCTCATATCTTTGACTTTTTGCTTTTTATAAGCCATGTCTTGATTCTGTCTATTTCCAAACCTTCCAACATATCAAACATACTCTAGTAAACAACTCTAAGTTATTACAAACAAATTTTCTCAATTGTAACTCCATTTGGTTGAAGTTCCACTTTGGCCATTTTTGACCATTTTGTAAGAAGAGCTCATTTTCTATTCTAGAGGTTTTCTATTGATTCCAAACATCCAAAAATCTTCTTAGAGGTGTATTAGAGGTGTCCAAAGCATCCATTCACTTCGGTAAAAAGTCTCTTGGAAGTTTGGCTTTATGCTTCAAGAGGTAAGTTTTCAAAGAACTTTGAACTTATTGAAATATGTTGTGCTTTGATGTTCCTTGAGTTTGAATATGTTTAAAACACCATATGTGTTGTGTTTGAACTTTCTTTAAGTGCTATTGTTGACTGTATAAAGCCTTGACATAGAACTTGCAAAATGTAGCTTCTTTAGGTCTTGCCTTCACGTTTTAAAATAGATTTATTTTTAGCGAAAACCAAAACCACCATTAGATTCCTTAGGAAATTTCAAGCAAGTTTCATCTTTGTTTCATTCATTTTCTTGAAGAAATGAGTAAGTTAGGGTCCCTTTTGCAAATGACAAAAACTTGGAGTTTCCATGCCAACCATAGTCATGGTGCCTTCATGGTTCAGCCTCTAGGTCTTGTTTAGCCTTATCAATTAACAATGGGAGGTGATACAGTGAATGTATCATCACTTCAGTGGTTGTAACCTGCACGCCTTATACCTTGTCACCATTGAAACTAGGGTTCGAATCCTCCTCGCCCCAGTTTCTTTTACTTTTCTATTTTTTCAACTAAACAACATACATTATACCTTGCCTTCACCCTTTAACAACCATGCATGTATGGTTGGACTGGCTAGAGTTTTGGATGGAAATCTGAATGACATGGGTTCAACACCCATGGGGAACCTTTCCCATTTTTTTAATGCTTATTTTTATTCTTTTTCTTTGTAATTTCAATTGACCATAACTTTCTCATTTTTAATCATTTTAAACCCATCCTTTTTGATATTTTCTCATGATTGTGTATACTTTTTGTTTGTGAAAAGAAAATACCAAAAATATGTTTTTTTGATGCACTTATGTATGCTTAAAGTGTGTGGCATTTTTAGGGTTTCGTAAGGACTTCTTTGATTCTTTGCTTTTCCTTGCTTATAATGACTTGCGTGAACCATATACACTTTGTATAAATCTTGTATGATGTTGTAGATTTATACATCCTTATTCTTACATGATTTTGATGCATTTTTTAAGTGTATGTTCATATGTAAGTGTATGTTGAACTTTGTCTATTCCATGAGCTTTTGCTTGACTATTTTGCCTTACCATGTGATATTCTTTCCATGTTTAGATGACCTTAATGTGCATGTGTGCCTTTGTGTTAATTATACCATGTTTGTGTGTTCTTAAGAACTTAAATTTTGTCTTGAATATACCTTTGAGTACATGTTTGTATGCTTGAACCTTTGTGGCATTTCCTACTTGTTTAAGACCATGACTGAAATCATAACATGTTTGTTTGGTTGTTACCTACTTGTCTTAACATGTTAAACTTGTATCCATGCTTAAATGTTCAAGTAATGCCTTAATTTATTCACATGATGTTTGAATTTAAACTTGTCATCTTTAAGTTTGTGCATATGCCATCTCTTGTATGATTGCATCATCATTCACATGTTATTGTCATAAGCATGCTCCCTTTGTTCAAATATGATTTGTTGTTACCTCTAGTTGTCTTAAATTGTATTTATGATTAAGTGATGTTTTAACTTATGCATGTTTACTTTGAACTTTGAATGATACCATGTTAAGTAATGCATTGACTTAAACATGCCTTATTTCATCTTTGAACCTTGTTTTCACCCATGTTAAGTGATGTCTCAACTTTGACATGTTAACTTGAACTTTGTTTCCATCCATGCTTAAGTATTGTAATAACTTATCCATGTTGAAATATTTAAATTGTATTCATGATTAAGTGTTGTTATAACTTGTTCATACTTATTTTGTATCCATGATTAAGTGGTGTTAGTAAACCCTAATGCATGCTTGCTTTGATAATGAACTTAAACTTGTATCCATGATGCCTTAGTCTTGTTATAACTATACTTCATGATTGTTTAGATGTTGTAACATCTATATTTAAATGTATTTACCTTGGTTGTCACCATGATTTATAACTTCTTTGAAACATGTGCTTGGTTGTTACCTTATCCTTTATGACTTTGTCAAGTCTTTACTTTAAATGTTGCCACATATATCCTTATGCCTTGGTTGTAACCATATGCTTTATCTTTGTAAATTAACATCATGTTTGAATGTTGCTTTGAATTCTTTAAATTGATATCATGCTTGAATATTATATGTGTTCATATCATCCTTTCATCTCATACTTCTTTAACTTTGTCAAGTTATTTCCCAAAGTGATGGTAGCTTGTTAGCTTCCATCCTTAAGTTTCCTTTTATTACTTAATCCAAGGGAAAGTATCTTTATTAACTCAATGTCATAGGTAGATTATTCATACCCATTTCCCCTTGACATTGTTAGAGTCATTAGGTTTACCACTTAGACTTATGGTAGAATTTATAATTCTTTTGACTTTGTTAAGTCAAGTAAGTGCTAAGGCTTTAACACTTACCTCCCCCTTTGAACTTTTATCATAATCAAGTGTTCATTCATCCCTAGTGAGGTGAACTACAAATGCTCTGATTTCGTCCTTGTAAGAATATGTAGGCACAAGACCGCGAAGTTTTGGCGAGCATACTTAGTGACTAAACCCATAGGTTCCTATTCTCACCCCACAAAACCCAAACAAGATAAAGCAAAAAGTAAACAATAACACAAATACTAGCAAGAGGTTCCTATAGAGAACTATAGATGTTTAGGATTCTAACATATTCCCTAGGTATAACCAACCCCCAAACCCCACAATCTCTTAGCATTGTTGTTACCTTGCAAACTTAAGGTTTTATACGATCTTTACCCTTTCCTTGGATAAATCAAAGTTCGGTGGTGAATATTTAAAGATTTGTAATTTAAGTTAATTAATATCTTGATATCCAATTCTCACCGCAACACAAACCAAATAAAAGAAAGCAAAAAACTTAAACTTGAACATATTCAGTTTCAGATGCTTCATTTAAACTCATTCCTTGCTTCAGTTTAACACAAAAATATTTAAAACATTCTTTGCTTCAGTTTAACACAAGAAATTTATAACAAATTT